GTGCTACAACACTATACATGTGTACTCATGATCATACGTGTATCATCGTGCAGCTTGAACCCCGCGTTCACGAAACAAATAATGCATGAATAAACAAAGCATATTAAAGAAAGAAGTAGGCCGGTTGACCCAAAGTTCATACTTCGTGGTTGCGATCTAACGTATGTAGAAACTCACTATATACAATACAACATCGAATCGGTCGACCGAAATATCCCGTCGATCAACCAGCAACGCGTGCACAAACGTGCACACACAAAACAGCCTCAATCGATAAACACTAACGTAGCCGGTGAATAATAATTTCGACGATGAACAGTAATCCCGATGGTGAATAATAATTCCGACGGTGAACAGTAACATCAGTGGTGAGTAGTACTCCCGACGATAAACAACAACTCCAGTGGTGAATGGAAATTTTGGATGTGGATAGTAACTCCAACAGTGAATAGTATTTTTTCGTTGGTGAATAGTGTTTTCCAGGAGTGAATAGTATTTTCCCAGAATGAATAGTGTTTTCGAAAATAAACAGTGGCTGTGGTAGTAAAATAGTGTTTCAGGTAGCGAACAGTGTTTTTCGACGGTGAACAGTATTCCCGTTGGTGAATAGTTTTTTTGGTGGTGAATATCATCCCGATCATATTTATTTCTACATTTTCGGATTGTATCTAAAATTCTATTCATCAATTTAGGGTCTAAACCATCAAAATTAAAACTAAATAGGATGAGATTAGAAAAAGATAATCTTACCTTTAGAAGTGGTTTTGATCCAGCAAACGGTTGATTCGTACGAAATTCCTTCACAAAAGTTATATATCTGGCCTTTCTCTACAACTTTGCTTTACAAAGTTTTTCGAAATTCTTGTTAGACCCTAGGGGGGGTGATTAGGGTCTCATGCTAATCTAATCCGATTTTATGCCGATTTAAAACTAATTCAAATATTATTCTTGCAAGATAGATATACAATATGTTATGAGCAAGAATATGCAAAATGAACAAATGGCAATATCCTAACAATGATATATAAGTGCGAGGATAGCAAACTAAGGGTAATATAAACACAAACAAGATAGTGGTCACTATGAACAATAGATAATGGCGACAAGAATGAAATGAACAATAAGCATAAGTGAGACGCCAAGACAATCACAAACACACAAAGATGATCATGGAGTTCGGACCTTCTGTCCTACGTCTCCGCTCCCCACTCCCGGGGAGAAATCCACTATCACATTGAGTTTTCTACGCTTATCCGAAAAACGTTTACACATCACAATATGGTTTTCTAGCTAATCGAAAACTCTACAATCTCACACTCTTGTAATCACACTTTACACCCTTTTAGTGTTAGCCTCTATCCCATGTCTCCTTCAAGTGTTAGGAATTGTAACCTACCTCTAGACATTACCACCTACCTCACTCTTCTTGGGACGACCCCGTCTCTCACCACACACTCCTCTCGGTGTATAAGTATATTACAAAATGTATCTCATAATAAAGCTCTCAATACAACAAATTTATTCTCTAAATAGATGAGAACTCAATATAGGCTCACTCTCTAAGTCACACAATCCCACAACCCAATTATACAATGTATGTAAATACAATACGCTCAATGGTTGTGTGTGTAAACAAAGAGAAATAAAATTAAACTCAATTAAAGTCTAGCAAATATAAATATGACAATATAAATGTAAACAAGCTAGATAATTGAGTTGTAGCAAATATAAATATGACAATATAAATGTAAACAAGCTAGATAATTGAGTTGAGAAAACTTCTCTAGAACAAGAGAGATGGAGATGTGAAGTGGAAAGCTCAAACCAAAGATGATCTCCTCTTCTTGTGAAATAATCTCCACAAACTTAAAACTTTAAACCCTCACTTAAACAAAACTTAAACTCTTGTAAAAACTTATTTAAAACATCTCTTAGTAGTAGAAAATAGTTATGATAATAGGGTATATATAGGGTAGAAGAAAACAACCCCAAAAAAGCCCAAAACCCCACAAAAAAATCAGCAAGTTACCGTTACTGTGCAACGGTAACTTCGACGGTTGACCACGGCTACTGTAGTGGTTGACCACGAGAGCCAGAATGCTCTCTGGACTACATATGGTCGACTGTGGTGGTCGATTTACTGTAGCACGGTCGACTGTAGCGGTCGACCTTGAAAAACTGACAATTTCAGAAGCTAGAAAATTACATATCTGACTTTGTAAAATCAATTAAAAATAGTAAATCAACTTTAAAAATTATGAAATTTTGAGTGAAGTTTCTACACATGTATATGAACATGTTAGAGAAAGAATTTCTTAAATATCGCTTCCTATTTGTGAGAAATAATTATTTAAACACAGATATATAGTTTCTGAAAAACTGCTGAAAACTCGTTTTTGTAAATTCAACTAAAAATAATAAAACAAATCCAAAATTAGTAAAACTTGGGAAAATATTTGTATATATGATGATAAATATGTAAACAAAGAAAATTTGAAAATTGCATTTTCCAATTGTGAAAACGCATCTATTTTGTAAAAACATGCACGAACATGTGCACAAACATAAACTTATTTAAAACTTGATTTTGTAAATTTAATTAAACATAACAAATTAATTCCAAAATTAATAAAACTTTAGAAAACATTTATAAACATGAAATTGAACATGTTAGAAGAAGAATTTCTAAAATTGAATTTCTTACTTTTGAAAACTCATATATTTTGCAAAACTTTTAAATACATGTGTACATAAACTTCTTGATTTTTGACCATTGAGTTAAACAATATTTTGAAATATTATAAAATGATTTTATAGACTTAATAGAATATGCATATAAAGTTTGTTAAGTCCAAAAACCAATAACTCAATATTTTATCAAAATTACTCAAAATCAAGAATTGTGTGTATGTGTGATATTGAGCTCAAAGTATTAACACACAAGTATAAATCCTAAACTAATTTACCCAAGCTAGTTTGGTCTTAAACATGCTTGACTTGGTAAACTCGCGGATGAAGCTTGAACTTAAATCTTTAATTTGGATTTGCATAGCTTCACTCCACTATTCCGCCAACCTCCATTGGATATGGTCGTGAATGCTTGATTCCATCCATCCTCCAACACATCGTTTGTCTATAATAAATGGAAAAAAACAAATACTAGACAAACAATATTAGTCATAAATTATTTGTTAAATATCATCAAAACAAGAAGGCCAACAATTCTATAAATTTTTTTGGGGGTTTTGAGGGAGAGGGCAGCTCTTCTCACGGGAATGGGAAAGGAGAAATGAAATGAAGGAGAGAGATGATGATTATATATATATATATATATGACGTAAGCCTCACATCTATCTAATCAACAGAAAAATTATTAAAAATACAAATGCGACAGATTTCAGCAGACTCGCGATACCAATGCTGAAACTATGAATCAATCTCAAATAGATTCCAATCTAATCCATTCATCCCAAAATAACCACCAATCATAATAAAACTCATTTATTATTATTTATAATAATATTTTCAAAAATTTTGGGGTTTTACACTGTATGAAACATTAATGATGATTTTATATAGCTGACTTGCTGGAATGAAGAATCTGAGATATATTCTCCTGATGTAGATTGATGATTGTTCTGTATATAATCCATGTCATTCAATCTTATCTACTAAATCTTCTGGAAAAAGAGAAGTAATGAATTTCACAAGTCCAACATTGTGGATAAACTTGAGAGATTGAGTAGCAATATGGGCCTTATACATTCATACATTCGATGATCATAGTATAATTGGAAATCTCTTCCTTGTCACATTGCAGGCATCAAACCTTTTATCGATTCACTCATTGAAGCTCGCATGTTGTCACTGAATTTTACTATTATATATAATGAAAAAATTGAAGAAGTTTACGTGCTCTAAAAGTTTAATTTGTCATCTACATTTTGGTTTAATTTGTTAACTTGTTAGCTTGATTAAAAAAATTGGTCTGCTCATTTTCTTTGTAGGTTTTGAGCTCATGTAGTGATGACATATGAATTACTCTTTTGTTACTACGGATAGGGTCTATCATATGAGCACTTGTGAATTCTCAGTTGTAATTTTTTTACATCGAGGATACTTCTCTTCTCACATGCTATTCAGTTTGCAACTCTTTGTATTTTTTCTTATTAAAAGGATACTTCTCTTCTCACATGCTATTCAGTTTGCAACTCTTTGTATTTTTTCTTATTAACATTTTTCTTGGTATATCAAAGACCAAATTGACTATTCAGTTTGCAACTCTTTGTATTTTTTCTTATTAACATTTTTCTTGGTATATCAAAGACCAAATTGACTACGTAATTGTCAGTTGTACCTGCATTTGAGAAGATAATGAAATTGTTACTTATTTGCTCTGACGTCAAATTATTCTCACTTTGAATATGTGTGAAATATGAAACAAGCCTCAAGTGTTTTTCAGCCTGGATATCTGTGAAATATGCAATGATAATGTATTATTTAGATGTTTTTTTTGTAAGATACATGATATGTTTGTAGAGTTTTCTTCATTTTCATTTTGTTGAAAGTCTTGCAAGTTATGATGGGTAATGAATTTGAAAACTTAGCAGATGTAGCTATCATTGCCAAAATTAGCTAAATTTATATTTTTTTGATTACTATTTTACATATCACCATTGCATTTGATGTAAACAAGATGGGTTAAGAGAATAAATTTTCATCAATTTTAAATTCAACTTCATGTATAATAAAGTACCCGAACACTAGATTTTGAAATCAAAGATTTTAAATACTTTTATTTAATAAAGATATCCAAACAAAAGATTTTTTAAATTATGAATTTCAAATCTTAAATTTAAAATTCCTTAATTTTAAATCAACTTTTCATATCCAAATCAAATTCAAACGCAGCCTTAAATGATTTAAGTAACTCACTTCAAATTATTAACCATTTAAGGGATTAACATCGAAGGAAAAGCCCATAAAAAGCCCAACAAAAAAGTAAAGCGCAAAAGAAATCCGGAGAACAATTCTGTGAATACAAAACCCCTCCATCAAACTCTCTCCCTTGGAGTCTGAGATCAGATCGAGCTTCAGCCATGGGCGAATCTCTAGTGAAGCAGGCAAAGTTTCAAAATTTCCAACTTCCATCTCTCTCTTTCTTCAAGTACCAATCCTTTGCCTAACTTGAACTTTGTTTTCCCATCAGATTATCGAGAATCAAGTACTAACTGTAGCCAAGGCAGTGGAGGACAAGCTCGACGAGGAGATCTCCGCCCTAGATCGCCTCGATCTCGACGACATCGAAGTGTTGAGAGAGAGGAGGATTCAGCAGATGAAGAAGATGGCGGAGAAGAGAAGCAAGTGGCTTGCTCTTGGCCATGGCGAGTACACTGAGATCTCTGAGAAGGATTTCTTTGCTGCTGTTAAGGCTAGCGATCGCGTTGTCTGCCACTTCTTTCGCGAGAATTGGCCTTGCAAGGTATTTTTTTGGTAAAAGTTAATTCTAGGTGATAAATCTGTAGATACTTAAAACTAGGCTATTGAAATGGGCATTTCCTTTGGCGATGGGTTTTCCCCCCGATTAAGCTTGGGACTGAATTCACCGGATGAGGTTAATAGTAGCATGTTTGGGGATTATAATTTGTAGGGTTCCTGCTAATTAATACTGAGAAGTTCTTTATTATGAATATTCTGTGTGTCAAGAAAAGTTTGAAGGTTTTCGGTGTTTATTGCACTCAACACCTTTTCAAGATAATGATATAGAAAGAACATGATTTCTTTCTGTCTTAAGCTTATTATGATAAAGCATATGAAAATTGGTTCAAGATCCTGAAGCCAAATAACCTTTCTAACTTGGGAATTTAGGAATTCGATCGTGACACTTGATTCCTTGGAAAGGCAAGCTGGTAGTATAGTTGTTCATGTGCATAAACTATCCACGGCTCAAATTATGTGATTGAACCATGGACGGATCTAGCATATGAAGTGTGGTGTCAAGCGTTACCACCCAAAATTATTTGTAGACTGAACTTATTAAGTAAAGTGACACTCCAATGGCCAACTTATGAAGTATATGTGAACTTATAAAATAAAATGACACCTCCAAATCATTTGTATAGTGAGTAGTGAGCCATTAATTCTTAATGGCCAAATCTAAAAATAGAATAACCAGAGGAGCTATTAACTTAAATGGCCCAGTTTACCACATATCAAAGAGCTTCCGTCAATTTTGAAAAAAGGAAAATAGGTATGTAAGTTTACATTTAAAAGAATGTATTAACTAGATTTTTTGAATGGATGCTGTTATGCTGCAATTTCAAAACATGAAGACATATAAGGGTCAATTGTAATTGTATATAGTTAAATATCTTTTTTATCTCATTAAAATTCATGAATGTACTCAATGTCAGAGAAAAATTAGTAATATCTCTTTGTATATAATGTGACACCACTATTATGAATTTATGGCTCCACCACTGGATTGAACTCCAATTTTATGTCAAATAATCAAGGGAATCATCCAGTATTATGGATCACTCTAATTTCCAACTCCATCTTGAGAATGGTCCTCTGACTCTCTTTAATTGCCTCAGACAAATTTCCTTTTAATTCATCTTTCTATCTTCTCCTCTAAATGCATGTTATGGTAAATTATACTTTTGTCAACTCAATTACTGCTAACTTTCACTATTATGCACACAAATGCTTATTTTATCTCTTTTTTATTTTAACGCATCCGTATCTGGTTTTCTTTATGCTACTTTACATTTCGGCCACTCAATTCTTGCTGACTCTTCTTTTCTTCTAATTTCTGTTTATCTAGCTGTCTTAAGTCATTTGGATCTCACCAACAAGTACATATCTTGGTATTCTTTTTATTATGGGTAATTTTTTTATTACAATAGAATTTGGGTGATTGGCAACACATTGCCTTATTAAAATCTTGTTTCTTCACCTGCTTTCCTCCTAACACACGCTGAATAAAGTGTTCGTTCTGTCTTTACTAGTTCAAGAACCATAAGCTCAAGCATAGGCATTGGCTTGTTTTGCATAAGATCATATTTGTATGAGGGACCTCCTTTTTATCCGCCACTATCTTTTGATATGGGTAAACTACACAAATCCATATGGTATTATGCTGAACTTGGTCTTTATACATTTAACATAGTTAATTAGCAAAACAACCCCCGCTTATATCTAGGTTTGATTATGATACCTTGTTTACGTTATTTTCAAAGAGACGCCTATATGACTTGCCCTCACATCAAATGGCATGTGTATGCCAAGCGAGGTGGGAAGCGAGGTGGCAATTCATATGTATTTTATTTGTTTAATAAAAAAAGTGAATAAAATCATTGAATGAAGGTAAGAACAGTTGGAGGATTTAACCTCTCATTCATTTAATTAACTTAAATGTTAGCTTGTGATTCCTTTTCTTTCCAAGGATTATAAGCATGCGGATCAATGGATGTAAAAGGCCTATGATAAAGGGTTTGCAAGTATGAAGACTTCGGTTGCAAGAGGATGCCTTGGAGGACGACTAGAGTTCGTCTATCTTAAAAATAAGTTTTGATGTTGTCTAATTGGTTGTATCATGTTTTGAGATGGTTATAAGGGATGATATTTCATGACTTTTAACTGATAAGATTTACTAAACCTCTAGATCTTAGAGTACTAACGTATTAGAGTCATGAAAATAACATTAGGAAATCAAGTTTGTCTAGAACATAAAACCCACACTCTGGATAGAACTCCAATTGGCATAACACCTTAAAAAAAACCCTGCTTTCCATGACAGGTGCCATTTACAAGCTATTGATTGTGCTACTGATTACATGATCTTTTCTGCAGGGAAATGGGGGATCAGTGTGTAGGTTGGTTGTCTGATTTATTTTCTCTTGATATCAAAAGATAAAGTTCAACTGTTATCATTTTGTCACTTGAGCTCCATAAAATAAGGCTATGAATCATAATTTACAAAAGAAAGGCCTAACAAATCCATTTATCAATGTGATGTGAACCCTTTATAATTTGTGCATATTCTCCTAGTACAATTATCCTTGTTATATGACCCGTGGTATCGTTTCATACTAAAAAAGTAAGAAAACTTCTTTGTCATTGTCTCATTTGGTGGATTTCTTCAGTTTGACTCTTGGTTTTACATGTGCCTCGTAGCTGATTTCTATTTCCCGTATCAAACCTATCAGTTTCATCGACCTTTTCGATCTTTTTCTTTAGTCTAACAGAGTTTTAAGGATCCTAGAGTTATGGAAACTCTTCCCTTTCCTGGAATTTCGTCGGTCATGAATTTAGCACTGACCGAGGGATGGTTCTCAATTTGATACCCGAGGGACAATCAGTTTTAGAACTTTGTCTAATTTTTCCCTGTAGCTCTGTAGCTAAACAGTCTGGCGGAAAAGACTTAAGAGGATTATGATGATGATCTTTACATTGCCTCCTATGGAGCATGGGATTTTGTCTTGTTAGGTATAGTGGTTAAGATAATCCTTTAAATTTCGATCATATATTCTGAACGTGTTATTTAGTCCTTTCTACTTTTTTTGAGAGAATAAGTTGCAGCCTCCAGATTCATTTGCAGATTGTGAAAAGCCTTTGTGACTATGATATAATAGTAGTCAACTTGTGCTATTGGTGAAATATGGTGAAGTTGTTCATATATTTTTCGTCACTCATTCTCATGGTCTCTTTGGTTCTTATATATTATAGTTAAGTTTTTTTTAATATACATCGTGAACTTCTTTTGTAGCTATTGTTACCTATGAAGAAAAAAGGACAAAAGCAAAATGCATCCTCCATATTTCTACTGGAACCTATGGATATCAATTAGAAACTTATAAGAAATGTTAACTAGTTCAAAAGAAATAAATAGAGAGGATTAAGTAAAACTACCAACGAGCAGTACTCCTGTTACTAGAATATTTGGGCTTGGGCACCAATATATCCAAAACAGTCAGATCTTCTACAGAGTCAAAGTAAGATGGTTGGGCTTGGGCACCAATATATCCAAAACAGTCGGATCTTCTACAGAGTCAAAGTAAGATGGAGCAGGTCACGTATGAAATTTTTTTTCCTATACTTTTCTTTTCTTCTAGTCATCTGTTAGTTCCAGAACACGGGTCCATTTTGGTCAAGCAATAAAATTGAGTTAGTTTTGCTGCCAGGTCCTAGAAAGGACATGAAACTTTTAAGTTTTCATGATCACTGCATATACAAGGGTCTAATAGGAACAATCCAAGTGTCTTATGTTTGGATATCTTGAACTACCAGCTAAAGGGACAACCTTTATTCAGAAAATGCATTTTGAGAATAACAGTCCTCTTAAGGGGCTGTTTGGTTTGCTGCTGTTAGAAGAAGAGAGTATTAGTTTAGTCTCACAAGCTAACTTGTAAGTAATCCATCTCTATAAATAAAGTATAGAGTGAGTGGATAACTCTCCAATAGTCTCTTTTCTCTCCAAACTTTAACATGATATCAGAGCCTCCTAAACCCTAAACCCTAACCCTAATTCCCGCCGCCACTTGTTCTAACCCTAACCCAAATTCCTAAACCCTAGCCGCCGCCTCTCCTCTCTCTCGAAACCCTAGCTGTCAAAGATCAAATCCGTCGTTGCCTGCTTCGTCCGCCACCATCGCCACTTGCTTTGTTTGTTGCCACTTGCTTCCTTGACAACTTGAATATCTTACCTTGCTCGGTGTTTTCTCGAGTTCAAACTTGGATTTGATCTTGAGAAGAGTGTTTATCTTACCTTGCTAAGATATTCACTTTAGTTTTTGTCTCCACAATCGAAACATCAACGTCAAACCCCCTTCATGTTTGACTCGGATCGTTGAATCGGTGGTCTATGGAGGAAACTCCAGATCTATATCCACTTCAGCGATCCGATCTTCCTCAACAACTCTCGCCCGCCGTCGAAGATCGCCGCAACTATGTCCCTTTATTTTCAGATCTGACTTAGAACTGCGAATTATTCTCCAAAATAATAATAATAATAATAATAATAATAATAATAATAATAATATTTTTTCGGGTTCTTGAATTTTAACCTTCGAGTTTCATGTAACCTTCGGACTCTTGCATTTTAACTTTCGGGTTTTTGTATGATAATCTTCGGGTTCTTGCATTGTTAACATCCGGGTGCTTGGATTTGTTCAACTTGTGGAGGGTATCATCTTGATCTCTACTCGTTTGTTTCATGATAGCCGGATCTGAGGAACTTAAGAATTCTGAGTTAATGGTCCAGACGAAAGTTTCAAAGATATTTTCTAGTAGAATCACTGATCGAAAACTTGATGGAATTAGCTATTTTCAGTGTAAGCGTGTTATTAAAATCTACGTAGCAGGCCGAGGTAAAACTGGTTATTTTTTGATGGACCCTCCTTCTTTGACACCAGAGTCTTGGACATTAGATGATAGTTTCCTCTTACATCGGATTCTTAATACTACAGAGCCTAAAATTCA